TTTAAGTTGAATTGAGTCATACAGGGAGAAATAAAATTGAGTTAGATGTTCAAAGATAAAAATCAATTTGTATTTCTCTTTCTACCCCTCTGAAACTTGCAGGAACTTATTAGTCTGAAAAGAGATCCATGTCCTAATGATCAGATGGTCCCTCTCAGGGTCTCTCCAGCCTTTTATCTTTCCTCCTTCCTCTACCCAATCCCCATTTCCTTAATCTCTTAGCTAGAATTAGCTGGAATGTCATCCATGTACTAGTCATGAGCCTTGCTCCATGGAACGAATTCTGAGGATCTTTCTTGATTGAACCCCTTCATCCGAAATGTTAAGGTTAATTTTAGAGCTGGCCTGCAGAAGTGCATTTAGCCAGTATGTTTCTGTTGGGAGCCTGATTTCTGCTTCAGTCCTACATCAGTCCTACAAGTGATAGTTATGGTGTGATAAATCCTGTGATTGCCAGTTTTCAATTATAGACTGCTTTACATTGTTTGGCTTCTTGGTTTCCCCAAAGAACAAATGGCAAATGACCATGGTACCTGAAGCTAAACTATTCATCCATCTATTCATTAATTTTCAAGTACCTACTATGTCCCAGATATTGTATTACACACCAGGGATGCATTGTATTACACACTGCACTCATAGCCTTCCCACAGGCAGGAGGATTTCCTGCCTGTGGGAAGGCTGTGAGTGCAGTGTGTAATACAATGTCAATGTCACAAAAATCTAGGGAGCACATTCTCATGGTGAATATATGAATAATAACCACCACCAGGGCCACCCCTCCCACCCAAGGAATGGTGCAGCACAGTGGTTCTGCTTGACACAATTCTCCACTCTTCCTAACATTTGATTCATTTTGACAGATCTTCAGGTAATCCAAGCATAAGATTATCTTTAACTTGAAAAAAGCTAAACAACAAGAAGTCCGTTAAAAAAGTCTTATAAGATTTACAGACTCTCAGATTTTAGGTTTAAGTAAGTCAAAAGTCCAAGAATCACAAAAGTGGTTCCTACTTGGACACATTCCTATTCTGTTTAATTTAGACTAGAGTCACGTTTAATTTAGATTAGTGTTAGACTAGAAACACTAATGGTTTCGTGTGCCCCTGGATTGACATTTCCCAAAGAATGTTTCATGAAACATAAATAAAATAAAAGAATTATTTGACAAAAAGATTCTGAGGTTAGATAAGTATGGGAAACACTACGTGAAATAGGTTTCTTTATTGCAAAGTCTGGGAAACATTAACGTGCTAATGAAGAATGTGGATCTCTAATAGATGGAATAGTGTGTGGAAGCAGATCATAGGCCTGGTCTTTTGTTAAAGACACTTTGGGAAATCTTATTCCAGATGAGTCTTTGACCTTGGCCAAGACCGCCTGTCCAATACACATATCGGTGGGGAATATAATATGTGGCAATAAGCAGAACTGGGTGGGCAGCAGGGCGCAGCGTCTCTCAAGGAAAAAGTGAACTTGAATTTTATAATACTGTATAGCTTTGATGTTCAAAGATCAAGAGTAAGCCTAGACATTCAGTTTCCTGGGGGCAAGATTCGGGTCTGCCTCCTCAGTGTTTGGGGCAATACCTGGCACAACTTGATATTCAAGAAGTGTTTGTTGAAATTAATTTAAGGCACATGTTTGTATACACATCACTGGCTTCACATGGGCATATATGGGTTTATATGCCTGAGCAACTGCATTCACTTAATTTATCATAAACATTGTGCCATAGTATATCTCTAACACGGCACATATAAAAAACTTTTTATCAGCCACACAGAGAGCATAGTACTTCTTGGTTCTCATTTCCTCTGAAAGCCAATAACACTGTAATCAGGAGAAAATCAGGCCTGCTGCTAAGACTGAGAGCCACTTACAGGTGACCTTTTCAGCATGGAAATTGTTACCCTCTTAGCTGTGCCTGCCCTGAAACTTCCCAGCACCACAAAACAGATAGAGTGGCCACAAATGTTATTCTTATACCCTGGCTGATTGTGGAGTAGCACAGAGCAGCCCTAGAAACAAGTAAATATGACTTTCACCTATTCCTTTTGGAACAAAAACTCAACAGCCGTGACCTGCCTTGGGTCAAATCGTCCCCCAGATGATATTATTTTTCTTCTGGATTTTAGATAATTTCCATATTCTGAGGAGAAAAGGAGGCAGCACCTGCCGGAGAGTGGCTGGGCTAGAGTTTTCTGATTCTCTCTTAGTGTGTGCCAGCAACACGTCCAGCATGATAAGTGTTTTGTTGGGCTATTTTTCTTTTTTAAAATGTCAGTGCTGTTGTAATCCGAAAAAAGAACCATGCCCCCAGGGAGCATTTAGAGAGAGGCTTAGTCATAAGGGCACATGTATTGATTTTACCTGCCATTCCCTGAGCCCTGCAAGGACCTGGAGCTTTCAAAGAAATGGTGTCTTCATTTATTACCTCCATCCTTGGACTGAAATCTTTCCATTGACAGGGTTGAGCTAGTCGAGGGTTGAGAAGTTTTGGGAGTTTTTTTTTGTTTGAATTTTCTTACTGTGAAAAAATTTTTAGTATACCCCAAAGTAAGGTAATTCAAGAATTATCAAGGCTTTATCAGATTGTTTCATCTTTCCTCACTCCCTTTTCTTGCTGGAGTAGTTTAAAGCAAATCCAAGATATTGTGTTGTAAGCATGCCTACATACTTAAATATACAGCTCTAAAAGAAAAATACCATTACCTCATCCAAAGTATGACATCATAACTCATAGTGGGTTATCACATTTGAAATATCAGTCTACAGCCATGCCACCCTGAACAAGCCCGATCCCATCTGATCTCAGAAGCTAAGCAGGGTTGGGCCTGGTTAGTACTTGGATGGGAGACCACCTAGGAAGACCAGGTGCTGTAGGCATAAAAAAATTTAAAAAATAAAGGATTGTAAACTGACAAGTTCCTTGTAATCTGTGAGGTCAACCAAGGGTTGCCTCGCCTAAAAAAAAAAAAAAAGAAATGAAACGAAAAAAGAAAGAAAAGAAAAAAAAATCAGAATGTTTTCAAATTCACCAGTTGTCTTTTTAATGTTTGTTTTATTCAAATAAGGATCTAAGAAAGAGCCACACATTTCATTTGGTTGTATGACTCTTGTTTCTTTTAATCTAGAGCAATACCCTCTCCCCTATTTTTTTAATGTCATTGACATGTTGAAAAAGTTATGCTCTTTTTTGTATTTATGATATCATTTCCTTTATTTTCCATCATCTCCTTTCCACTCCAAAGGAAAAAAAAAAAAGAGGAAGAGCTTTAATATCCATGGAAGAGGCCACTAGTTGCCAATATTATTTCTCTCCTTCAAAGAAATGGAGTTTTAAGTTGGATCCATGACTGCCCAATATAAAGACCAGATATCCCAGTCACACTCACAGTTAGACGTGGCCGTTTGTGCAAAAGTGATGGGAATAACTGAGGCCTAAGAGAAGGGCAAAATTAGAGCAAAGGAACTGACGTACCATCAAAAACTCATACACTGTCAGGAGCTTGTATGCCATTGGGAGCTACACAAACTGTTGTCTTTCCTACTTACTTGAAAACATATGTTAGTGTTCTGCTTTGCATGAGGCACTGTGCTGGATGCTACATGTACAGCAATGACTAAAACATGGTCTGTGTTCTGCTTGGGGTAAGTCCAGAGTCTAGTGAGGGAGACAGACATTAAGAGATTAATTATAAAACACAGCAAGAAGTACTTCAATAGGACCCTGAATGCATAATTAGAAAAACAGCACAGATGAAAATAATAGTAATTAACATTTACTGAGCTCTCCCCATGAGCTCAGCACTATGCTAAACACTTAATACACATATGTGATTTTTAATGATAATAACAATACCACAGGGTTTGAGCCAGGCACTCTTCAAAATGCTTTGCATGCATTAATTTATTTATTCACAATAATAGCTCTAAGAGGTAAGCAATATCATTATCCTCATTCTCAGATGAGAAAACTCAGGTACTAAGAGCTTAAACAACTTGCCCAAGGTCATGTGGCTGGTGAGTGGCACAACCAAAATATGAACTTGGGCCCAAACTCTACACTCTGAGCCAGTCTTCTGTGGCTGCCCCTACAAAGCACCTAACTACATGTGAAGACAAGGGAAGGCTTTGGGGGAGATAAAAGTTGATATGGACCTGAGCTAAAGCAGAATAATAGGGAGTCTTTAGGAGACTGCAGCTATACGAGGGAGATCTGACAGGATTTAGTGGTTTATCAGATACTGGTGAGGAGTAGAGGAGAGGCAGAGAGCTAGGAAGCTGACGAGAGACATTTGGAGGCACTAGTGTAAAAGAATGGGAAGATGGCAATGCTGTTAATCAAGAATATGAGAAGAGGACAGATGTAAAAAGGAAAAGATAAAGAACATTCTTTTGATCATGTTCCCTTTGAAAGGACTGATGGATATTCAAGTGCAGATTAGAAGCTGGAGCTCAGGGAAGAGGATAAGGCCAGAAATAGATTCCTCAGTCATCAGCATGGTGTGGCTGGTCAGAGAAGCCATGGGATGAGATCCTAAATGGAGTGCACGTTTGTGGCAAGAATACAAGAGAACCAAGAATGGAGCCAAGAGAAACCCTAATATATAAGGGTGGACTGAATTGGTGAGACAATAAAAGAGATGGTGTCAGGTGATAGTTTTTCCTTTTTTATTGCTGTGAACACGGAAAGAAATTCTTAAGCTTTAGCAACCATCTTATAACCCCAAGGTAACAAAAGGAGGTAAAGATCAAAAGAATCACAGATATATTGATCCTAACATAGTTAGGGCACCAAAAAACAATAGCATTTGGCTTTCCATAGACTTCTTAATGGATTAAACAGCAGAGATTATTTTTAGCTATAAAGTGAGAATAGCTGTCACAATGGACAGTCATGAAAGCTAAGCCTAGAACAGTGTTTGCTGCATAGTCTACACTTAAGCAGATATGGAGTGAAGATATGTGATGATAAGATTTTCTTAAGTATTTATTTGACCATCTGGGAACAGAATCAAAGAAAGCCAATGGTTGGATATCTCCAGAGTTAGGGACCAGTTGCAAGGGGTAGAGTAAGGAGATGGGTTACACAGAGTAGATGATGAAAATACAGGTTTCCTTGACCATCGAGTCCAAATTGGGTAGTTAAGATAAATCCAGGCTGGTGTTGACATCTCGTATCTTCCCATCTTATGGAGAAGTTGAGTCCTCAGTGAGGACAAACTACAAGACTAACAATTAAAAAAGGGATTGAGGGTTAGATCTGGTAACAGAGAAAGTGATTTCCATAATTTAAAATTTCACAGGTGAAGTGGTTTAGAGTAGTGACGAGGACAAAAGTAAATGCTTATAATGTAGTGGAACTGAAGTCTACTATCAAAATAATTTCAATTAATAGTCAACATTTTATTTTAATCTTTATCTACCAGATTCCAGGTATATTGGTTTGCTAAGGCTGCTATAACAAAACACCACAGGCCAGGTGGCTTAAACAACAGAAATTAATTTTCTTACGATTTGGAGACTAAAAGTCCAAGATTAAGGTGTTGGCAGGTTCAGTCTCTTCTGGGGTCTCTCTCTTTGGCTTATAGATAGCTGTCTTCTCCTTGACTTTACATGATCTTCCTTCTGTACTTCTGGATCCTAATCTCCTCTTTTTATAAGGCTATCAGTCATACTGAATTAGGCCCCATCCTCATGATCTCATTTTACCTCTTCAAGACCCTATCTTCAAACACAGTCACATTCTGAGGTGGTGGGGTTAGGATTTCAACATATGAGTATGATGATAGGGAGTGGAGGGGAAACATAATTTAGCCCATAACATAAACTGTGTAATATATATATTCACACACACACACACACACACGCGCACACACACACACACATATATGAGAGCCAAGTTTCTCTATACAACATTTAATTCTCACACAAGCCTTTTGAAAACAAAGGTACTATTTTCAATTTTACATATTAAAAAAACCCAATACTCAGATTAACTACCTTGCCATGTCTTATTTAATTTGGGCTACTGTATCAAAATATCATAGATTGGGTGGCTTAAACATCAATTTATTTCTCACAGTCTGAAGTCTGGGAAGTCCAAGATTTAGGCACCTGCAGATTTGGTGTCTAGTGAAAACCCTCTTCCTGGTTTGCAGATGGCTGCCTTCCCACTTTATCCTCACAGAGCAGAGAGAAAGAGAGTTCATGTCTCTTCTTACTCTTTTTATAAAGACAGTTATATCATCATGAAGGTCCCACCCTCATGACAAATCTAACCCCAATTACTTCCCAGTGGCTCTACCATCACACTAGGGATTAGAGCTTTAACATATGAGTTCAGAGCAAGGAGACACAAACATTCAGTTTATAGCACCCACGTGCACACTGACATTAGCTGGTGGTGCTTGTGCTCAAGATCAAATCTATCTGATTCCCAAGCCAGTGTGACTTCTTTTCTATCTTGCTTTTTCTTCTAATTTAAAATCTATACCCTATCTTCTTCTAAATATATTAGAGGAGGCATCTCACAGTTATTTCTAACATTGGTCAAAAATACTTTTTATCCCCAAGTTCTGTGTTTTGATAGGTAATAAGAAGTAGAGAGGAGAGAACATCAGTCATGAAAAGAAACCAATAAGGAAGTTTTAAAGACCAGTATGGGAAAAGAACTAAGTGATCTCCTATTGCAGAAATGCAGCGTGCTGCACTTCTGTTTGCCTGCAGTGTTGGTTTCCTATTTGCTGCTATATTAAATGACCACAAACTTAGTAGCTAAAAATAACACAAATGGCTGACAGTTTTGGAGGTTTGAAGTCTGAACCTTCAGGAGGTTCCAGGAGAGAATTCATTTCCTTGACTTTTCTAGCTTCAAAGTCTGCCTACATTCCTTGGCTCATGAACCTTTTCTTAGTTTCCAGAATACATTACTCCAACCTCTGTTTCTGTCATTAATTACATCTTCATTTTCTCACTATGACCCTCCTACTTCCCTCTTATAAGGACTCTTGTGATTACATTGGACCTTCCCAGATAATCCAAGATAATCTTCTCAAGTCAAGGCCCTTAATTACATCTGCAGTGTGTTCTTTTTTTTTTCCCCCATGTGAGCAACATATTTGTAGGTCTCCAGCAATTAGGATATTGCTATCCTTTGGGGGCCATTATTCAACCTACCACACCTATTAATGGTTGTCCATTAGTGAATAGTTGAACCAGGAGGGAAATACCCTGGATGTTATTAAAGCACATTGCAATTCTCAGCATTTAAGGAGAAATTGGCGGTGAGGCTTGGATAAACCAGTTAAATAATGTTCCTCTATAGAATGAAATACGCAATACGTGTGGAGTCGCCAGTAGGAGCTGACGATGATTGCTCTAAATAATAAACATCTCCAAGCATAAGATATATGCCTCTTATTATTGTTAATGTTTGGGAGCTTAAAAGCAGAGCATGAATTATATTCACGATTCGCTTCTCTATGTGGTATGTGAAAGGTTCAATAAAGCATTACTATTGTGAAGCATAGGACTTGAATTCTTTCTCAGCCCCTTACAGCAAAAGCAATCTTAGGCAAGCATGATATACTTCCTCATCTGGAGAAATGAAATAATAACTTCCTTGTAGGATGGCTCGGTGCTTAAACAGAGGTGGAAGTGGCACATGAGACATCACAGTGTCTCTTTAATTGTACTACCTATGACTCTGCCACTATTCATAGGTATTTGGTACCCACTCCTTCCAGACCCACAAGACAATTGCCTTTCTCCCACTCCTTTGAAGTTAGAATGAGCCATATAACTTGCATTAGTCAACCAAATATGAGTGAAGACTCTCAAGCTATGCTTCCCCTGCAGTGGTGATTGTGGGAGCAAATCTTGACTTTAAATGCCACAAACACAAAATGCCTGAAATTCTGAGCATACTCATGGAGGACAATTGCATTAAAAAGCAGCCTAGATCCAAAGAAGAATGGATATGAATAAGAAATAGACTCTTGTTTAAAGCCACTAAAATTCTGGGGGACAGGGGGGGCTTGATTTTGTAGAATTAAACAAACTTAATCTGACTAACATACTATTATAGAGATAACCCTCAAAGGTGAGAGAGGCTGCCTCAAGGAGATTTTGATGCTAAACTGTTTCAGACCTTTCAAGCTTTCAGGCTAAACATATAGCAGCAATATTAATAGTAATATAACTGTTATTGGTGCTTATTACATTCAAGACACCATATCAAGCACTTTAGATTCTTTGTACCTGTTTAGATTATTTACACTGGCATCTGCAGTTCCAAGAACAGTGTAAAAACATATAGCAGGCACTTAATAAATATGTGCTGAATTAGTAAATTTCCATTTTTTATTAGAAGGGAACTTTAGCATTTTCTTGTTTTTATCTATAATGAACAGTTGTGCTTTGGGCATTTTCTTGTTTTTAACTATAATGAACAGTTGTGCTTTGGATATTTTTGTATAAGTGCAAGATTTTCTCTAGGTATTGTCTCAGTTAGGTTTGGTTTCAGCCATGAGTGATAGAAACCAAAAATAACTATGGGTTGAGCCAGATAGAGTAGCAGATAGAGATTGTGGGGGTACTAGGTTTTAGAGAGTGGTCAAGGAAGACCACTCTCCAGAGGCCTGAAAGAATAAAGCTGAAAGGGCATGAGTGAACTAAATTCAGATTCTTCTATGCCTTCCCTTAGCACATAAGAACAAACTTGTATTTTCTAATCAGTGGCCTTCTTGTTTAGCCCATCAAAAGAACTGAATGTGATGTTACTGATAATTATTTAAATAATGATTATTCTGGTAAGGACCTCTTACCTGAGATGCAGTAGTTCTGGATCCAGAAGTTCGGAGCCTAGTCTTTCATTTACCATTTATTTATCAACGACATCACATGTGCAAAGCATTGTATCAACTAAAGGGGTATTAAAAATTCACAGAACGAGAGGGAAAGGTTAACTTATAGGCACAAAGACTATGTAGTTACACTGTCATTAAGATGGGTACAGGAGAATAGGTAACCTGCTCCAACACATGCAAGGCTGGGGTGCATGTTGCAGGAAGCAAGTCCCAGGAGCAAGTGCTCATATTTAATTTTCCTAAAATATGTTGAGGGAGCTTCTTCTAACAGAGCAACAAAGCTAAGGACTTTTTATTTGCAACTATAGTTATAATTCTACTACCACCAATACAGCTCCCCTTGCCTAGGAAAATTATATATGAACCAATATGACTTGAACATTATACAGATACCATTCTTCCCCCACCCCCTACAGTATATGAGCTAAACGGTATTATAAAGACACATGTTGTAGCATAGTAAATTCTATTTATACACCTGCATTTCCCATAACTGACCATCCAATCCCTGAATGCAAAATCATACTTAACATAGCTCAATATCTCCATTCCTCTGTCCCTATTTAATCACTTATTGCCAACTAAACTTTTGCCTGAATGGTTAAATAACAACATGATGCCAATCTATTCACACCTGGCTTAAATTTGCAGCCTTATCCTAATTAGGTGTCAGCTTCAGACAGCTGACTGAACCAACCACCAACAGCAGGGAAGCCGAAACAAAGAAAGCAGCCACCTTTCAATAAACAAGCACCAAAAGTGAGTGTAAAAAAGCATTCTCTGTGTGAACACCAAAGTAGACCCTACAGGGACCTATCCTTGAGGAACAAAAAGTCTAATGGGGCATCTACTCCATACAGAATTGATATTGTAAAGCAAAACATGGAATGAAGTGGGTGCTGTGCAACCTGATGATGGATGGCACTTGCTGCTCCTGGAGCCTCATAAAGAAGCTTGTGCAAACTGGGACAATCTATTATGTCGAACCAGACTATCTACTACATTACATTCCCCCTTCCTTCCAACACTACATCTTGGAAGCCATCTTGGCACACAGTTGTGTTACAGAGTTTCATCACCCTAAAATGAGCTAAAGACATTAAGTCAGGAAACAGAGTAAGGTGTTCGGCAAGCCCCTTTCCCAGGCTACTAAACTGCTGACCTTCAGAGTGCCCTTCACTTCATTTATTAGGTACAGACCTGGAGCTGAATTCTTAATTTTCAGTTTTTCTGGGTCCAGCAGACCATCATGTTGTCAGGGACACATCCTCAACTACATGCTGTTACGGGAACCCAGGGGTTCAGACTATCTGTGGGGTTCAATAAGAGGAAATGGAGACTTCCTTAGCCAGTTATCATCATCTATGTCCTGCATTTGTCCCTCATCTCATGCATTGGGCTTGTTTAAAGCCTAATGCAGCTACAAGATTACTGAGAAATAACAGTAATTCCAACTAGGAAGCTGGGGAAGGCCTCCAAAAGATGGATTTGGGCATTTTCTTGTTTTCATCTATAATGAACAGTTGTGCTTTTGGATGTATTAACCACATCCTGGATTAAAGAGTCAATCCTGATAAGCAAAACACAGGGTCAAGGTATCCAGGCTGATGGAATAGCACGAGTAAAGGCATGTTTGGGAAGCACAGAAATTTGGTGGCAGCATAGATATTATAAGGTTGGTAGAAGATAAGACTGAAATAATGGGCTAGAGTTAGATCATGGAGAATCTTAAATGCCAGACTAAGAATTTACATTAGTCTCAGCAGACAATTGGAAGCCAACGAAAACTTCTATGGAAAAAAGCAAAAAAAATAAAAACAAACAAACAAAAACAACGACTTCATCTGTGCTTTCAAAAGGCAGAGAGACAAACTTGGAAGCCAGCTAAGGCTACTGCCCCACTCCAGACGAAAGATAATGGGGACTCATCATAGAGAGTAATGGAGAATTAAATGGAGGGGACCAAATCAGCAAGTCATTGGGGAAGCTAGGGCTTGGTTGCCAATTTTTTAAATTAGAAATTGAGACGGTTTGTATAACCTAAAGATAACTAGAAAAGTCATGGACCTGCCCATGTTTTCATCCAGGAGCAAAAAAAATAAGAACTAGGCCTAATGGACAAATGTATAAAGAGACTGGAAGACCCAAATAAAATTGATTTCTAGTTAAATCCCATGAGTGATGCATTTTCGACATATTGGTTACTTTAGGGTCTTTCTTATATAGTTACCAGGAAACACAGAGTTCTCACTAAGGGCACGTAAGTGGGAACAGCTTCATTTATTCATTCATCAGATATTTATTGATCACTTGCTATGTGCTAAGTGCTCTGTACATAATGAACGCAACACAGTCCTTACCCTCAAGTCGTTTATTATCTGAGGTGATGCAGGGAGTCACAAAAATGGAGGGGGTGGCAGTTATAATAGAGGCAAGCACAAGGCACCCATAGAACACTAAGGAGGCAGCTAACTAAATCCTGAAAAACTAAAGAAACATTGGCCAGAAAAGCAGAAGGGTATTGAAAGGAAGGACACTCTAGTGTCGAGAAAGACAATCTGAATAAAAGCTTAAGGTGAGAAGGCTTAGTGTGCCTAAAAGAAACAAGCCACTTGTATGTGTGAGATGAGAAAGAGATAAGAACAGTGAGCACGACACTGCATCCCAAAGGTGCAGCCTCCCAAACCATCCCAGGGACTTTGGACTAGGGCAGTGGGAGCCACAGAAATGTTTTAAGCTAGGACGTGACGGTCTTGTGTTTTAGAAAGCTCACTCTGGCTGCAGGCAGAAGGATGAATCAGAAGGGGCTGAGGATGCAGTTTGGGTGTCTAATACTCATTGTGTGGCTGTTCCTGCCCAGGGCACCCTTCCACCTGTAGAAATCCTCCTCATCCATCGAGACTCTGCTCCTGGGACACCTGCTCTGTGTCTGCCAGTCAATCACAGTTTAATTGCTTCTTCTACAGCATTTCCACCATCCATTCTCATATACCTCTATTTCTCTTAATAAGCCCAGTTCTAGAATACCTCCTGGGATATTGATATTATGAGAATGCTCATTTTAAATCATAAAGTTTTGTACAAACATTTGCAATGTGATGACAGTAACATTGAGGTTATTTGTCGTCCAAATAGACAGAAAGGCCTTTGAGAACAATGATTGCGTACTAACTCTCCCAAGCCCACATGTCTGAGCTCTGGTAAGTCCTCATCTCAAACGACCTTTCACGCTGAAGAGAACACTGAGGTATACTCTACTAGAGAAGGCTTTAGAGCCAGGCAGACCAGAGTTTTAATCCCAGCTCCTGACTAGCTGTGTAGTCTTGAGATTATTTTACCTCTCTAAGCTTTAGTTTCTGTATCTGTAAATAGAAATAAAAGTCACTTACCCCCCAAGGTGATTGTGAGAATCAGGAGTTGCATAAAGAAAGTGCCTGGCATGGTACCTGGCACAAAATAGACACCATGTGGTCTCCATTAGCAGACCCATGCTGGTGAAACCAAGTCCCAGTATAGGAAAAGATACTCTGAAGAAACTAATGATGAACAAAAAAAACTGCAATGAAAATTCATTTACTCATATAAAATTCAATGAACAAGTCCCAGAAAGACAAACGCTGCTCAAAGTGGCAGTGTATTCAAACAGAACTTTCTGTGATGATGAAAATGTTCTAAATCTGCACTGATCAATGGGTAGCCATTAGCCACAGGTGGCTCTCGAGCACTTGGGATGTGGTTAGTATAAATTTTTAATTTCATTTCATTTTAATTAATTTCAATTTAAATAATTACCCATAGCTTGTGCATACCATGTTGGACAGTGTAGGTAGGCGCTAAGTGCTGGGCTAGCCCTCTAAGTGTAGGGGAGGGTGGGCAGAGGGAGGAAGCTCAGGAAGGATGTGCAGGAACAGGAAGGATGGACACAGAGATCTGTTTTCAAAGCTGGCCAACAGGATTTAGTTAGTCTAGTCTACATACGGCAGTTATAAGAAGTTATAGGAAAGAAGTTATAGGAAAGAAGGGCCAAGTGGCCAGGCAATAAGGTAATAGGGCCTAAGGAGGGCAGATGCCACACCCTCACATAAGGACACAAATGGTCATCACTATGCGCAAGAAAGAGACAGCCAGCCCCCAGAATCCTGTGCTAAGTGCAGGTGCTATCTAGGTTTAACATTCTTATGGTGTCCTTGCTAATGAATTACATCACCAGGTTGGAGTTTGATGTGTCAGAGTTTTATAATCTTGCTTCATGACCTTTGGCTGAAACCTAGATTTTATTCCAAGGGCAATATAGTTCTGGGGAGCAGTGAGCAACTGTCAGAGACCATAGGCAAAAGATGAAGAGCTAGAGTAGTGTTCTGAATTCCTGAGGAGGAACCCCCTGCTCTGAGTTATCTCCGCTTACAATATCATACATGAAATTTACTACAGAACACGAAAGAAAAGGGGCCCTTAGTACCTGCTTTGTTCTCCTGCTGCAACTGGACAACTGTCTGTTACATTCCAGGTCACCATGAAAACAATGCCAGGGAGGGTCACCTTCCCCCTTCTTTGTGGGACCATCAGACAAGCCAGAAGAGAAAAGAGGCTGATCCCATACCTACTGGCCATGTAGAGGAGAGGGCAGCAAGCCGGAGACGAGGAGGGAAAAGGAGAAAGAAAGGGGACAGCACAAGAGCCTCATGAAGCAGTGGTTTCAGCTTGGTGGCATTTGAAATATCTAAAAATCCTGGGTAATCAATAGAACATAAATCTATGGAATCTATACTCACTTCCTCTCCTCGTTTTCCTTCCTGGGTGATATAATCAAAAAATAAGCTTGCACTTGAAAGTTTTGCTTGATTTAACAAATGTTTATTGAACATCAGTTATTAGCCAGGCTCTAAGGGGAGAGGTTCAAATTAGGCAAAATCTCACTCTTCAGGAAGAAGCCAGGAGGAGGGTAGTCTTTGTGAGAGGAGTGGACAAACTGTAGCAGGAACAAAAAGGCAGGGACCCAAGCAGTATGCAGAGAAGTCAGCAGAGAAGAGAGAGGCTGGAGCTGTGCCTGGAAGGATAAGAAGAATCCCTATTAGCTTAAAAAATGAATCAAGAACATTCTTGGAAGAGAGATTAGGTGAATAAAAACCCAGAGACATGGAGACGTAGGTGGTGACAAGAAACAGAATAATGCAGGGCAGCTGTGTGTTGTAGGTGATGACAAGGTATGAGAGAAAAAGAGATTGGTGGGGAATGGAGCAGGAAATGTTGATTATGGCAAGATTCAGAAGGCACTTTGGATGCCATGCCAAGTTTTTCAGACATCAGGCAAAAGGTTGTGGGGAGCCAGTGAAGCTTTTTGTGCAAAGAAGCGACATGCTTATTTACATTTTCTTTCAACCAACTTTACTGAGGACAAATATTCATAAAGATGAAAAGACCTAAATACTTTCGTTGGGTTCTCAGAGTGTAAATGACAAGATGCAGGCTTTTGGAAGGACACTAGAGTAGCCATGAATGCAAAGGTCAGAGTGGAATATTGAAGGATTTCAGCAAGGAGATAAGTTGAGGTGCAGCTGATGATGAAGGCCTAAACCAGGGGAGCGGTTATAGCAACAGAAGGAAAGTATGGTTAGGTGGGGAGATGCTGAGTTGGCCAAATTATTGAGACTCAGTGGTCCATAGGGTGGGGGTTTGAGGAAGGGATTGAGATGAGAGGCTGGATGAGGAAATCAGAGGTGCACAAAGGGAATTTCTCAATCTCTTCAAAGGGACATGAAAGGATCAACTCTATTTTCTCTCCTACTTACACAATGTAGTGAATCGAAAAAAAATAATTAAACCCCAAGGCAATCATCCACATGTAGACAATAGTGGTCACCTTCCCAGGGAAGACCATTAGTCATTTTACCAACTGACCTAATAGCTCTGAATCTAAATGTACGTGGGCAAGCAGGCACACACATGCACACACACAGGAGCAATGTGCATGCATGTGACACAAGTTTACCTAAAGTGCTACTTGTTTTCCCTTACTAACCATTCTTCAATTGCTGTCAGCTAGAAGCAGTGATTCTATATTCCCCAAGTCAATGTGTTGATGAATAAATGACCAGCTCAGGATTACCAATACAATACACAGTGTGTCACTGTGTAAGCTTTGGTTTGGGTTTGCCAAATTTACCCAGGGAAGGCTGAAGAAAAGAAGGCACTAGCATATCAGTAAAACAGTTTTTAATTTTTTTTTTTGAAACTTGGTATTCCATGGTTCAAAAAGAAAAAAAAAAATCTGGATACTACCAAGAAAGTGAAAAGGCGACTCATAAAATGAGAGAAAATATTTGTAAGTCATTTATCTAATAAGGATCTAGTATCAAAAATATATAAAGATCTGTCATACTCAACAATATAAAGACAAATAATCCAATTAAAAATGAGCAAAGAATTTGAATAGACATTTCTCCAAAGAAGATATATAAATAGAAGATATATAAATAGATATATAAAATTCAAAAACATACCCAATGCCATTAGCGGTTAAAGAGATGTAAATCAAAACCACAATGAAAAGCCATTTCACAACTCACTACTATGGCTATAATTGAAAACATGGAAAATAACAAGTGTTGGCAAGGATGTGGAAAACTTGGAACCCTCATACATTGCTGATAGGAATGCAAAACCATGCAGCCACTTTTGGAAAGCAGTTTGGCAGTGCATTAAAAAGCTAAACATAGAGTTAACACATGACCCAGCAATTCTACTCATAGGTATATACCAAGAGAATTGCAAACATGTCCAGACGAAAACTTGTATGTAAATGTTCATAGTGATGTTATTCATACTATCCAAGAAATGAAAACAATCCAAATGTTCATCAACTGATGAATAAACAAAAGTGGTATATCTGTTCAAAAGAATACTCTTTAGCTACAAAAAGGAATGCGGTACTGATACATGCTACAGTATGGATAAACCCTGAAAATGTGCTAGTTAAAAGAAGCCAGGCACAAAGAAGATACATATTGTATAATTTTGTTTCTATGAAATGTCCAAACTAAATAAAGTAATAGAGACAGAAATTAGATTGTTGTCTGACAGGGGCTGGAGGAAGGAAGCGGAATGGAGAGTAACTGACAA